GTAGATCCCTGCAAAGGCTGCAGGGACCAAGGCCCCCTCACAGGTCAGCATAAATCCCTGCAATACCCCACACTCCAGCAGAGCCGCACACTCGAGAGTCCTAATTAGAAACTGTTTTAAAACTTAGTTTCCACATCTGCCGCACCAGAATGTCAAAGCAAACCACGGTCACCTTAGCCAGCAAGCACACGGCCCATGACACTTTTCAGGGGCTCAAGAAAACACCCTTCATCTCTAAAATCTGGAAAAAATGAACTTTTAAGTGGAAGTTTACATATACATTAAATGTTTGTCTTTATATCAACACAGTACAATTTTGGGGGCAAAAATTGTACATACTTATGGTATAAAACACCATGTTTGATGTATGTACACACTGTAACATACAGTTTTTTTCAAGAAAGGGCCCTCCAAAGTCTCAGCGCGGCCCCGGAATAGACAACTGCCTGGCGCCCAAATTCCCGCGAGCCGGCATGGGAACCCTCCGGCTACCTCGGAGGAGCATACTCGCCACTTCAGGGCTTTCTAGGAAGCTTCCTCTCCCTCCTGGAGCCCAGACTCCTCAGGGACTGTCCTATTCGAGGGTGCAGGACCGCAGACAGCGACAGCAACCCCACGCACCCCACAACACCTCAGCGGAGAAACCTAAGCCCCAGACGGTCATGACTGCGCACGCGCAGGAGCAGCCAACCGGAACCTCGGGGCGGAGCGTGGCCTTCCCCCACCACCGAGGCGCTCGCACTACCCTTCTGCCTGGCGATTGGTGACTTAGCAACTCCGGGGGCGGCGACGGGAGGGTGCCCCTCCCTCCCCTCCAATGGAAATGAGGCAGGGGCGGTCCAATGGCGGAAGGAGCATGGCGTGGATGCATCTGAAAGTGAGTCCCGCAAGCAAGGCTTGCAGCGGCTAGGAAGAGCCCGGGCGTGGGCTGGGGGGAGGCGGGCGCACCTGCAAGTGCTCATGCAATTACACGTGCACCCGGCCAGGTGTGTGCAGTTGGCACACGCGTGTCGGGGCAGATGCAGACACGTGGCAGTGCCTGTGGACCGTGTCTTTATGGAGCCCAGCACAGGGCAGCTTAGGAAACACGACCGTCTGGAGTGTGTGCAGAAGCTCACGCGGAAGGAAATTAGACTAAGACGTGGTCTCAATCCGTCTAAAGTTTTGTTATCTAGGGGGCTTAAAGTTAAGAGTTCTGAGTTGTAACCCCGGGGTCTTGAATTTAGTAAGTGCTCAAATAGCAGACGATTGTCATGAGGCGTTCCTGCAGTCTGCAGGGGACTCGTCAAAGAAGGCGTGATCTACATGAACAGCTTTGAGGAATTCGTAAAAGTAAACCTGACATGTCCCTTCCTGGGTTAGAGAACAGAACCTACCTCTTTACTCTGGCCCGGACTCTCGCCTCTTCCTCCTGCATCATCCTAATTCTTCACTTTCCCTCACTTCTCAGTTCCAAACAGACTTTCTCTGCTTCTCACTCTTTTCTGCCACTGAGGGAGCAATTATGCTTTATCCTCCCCTCTAGTGACTCCTGGGTAGTGCCGTGATGTCACAGCTCACAGCAACTTCAAAACTCTTGGGCTTAAGCCATTCTCTTGCCTCAGCCTCCCAGGTAGCTGGGACTACAGGTGCCTGCCACATCGTCTGGCTATTTTTAGTATTGGTTGTAGTTGACATTGTTGTTTGGCAGGCCAGGGCTGGATTCGAACCCATCAGCTGTGGTGTATGTGGCGGGTGCCCTACCCGCTTGAGCTACAGGGGCCAAGCCCCTTCCCACACTTTCAACATCAGCTTTAAGTCATTTCCTCAAGGAAGCTTTTCCTTATCTCCAATTAGGTTGAGTCCTTCCATTACCATATGTTTTTTTTTTCTTTCACAGCAACATATTTGCACGATCATTTCTGTCTCTCTGAAGATTGAACTAATAAGTGAGTTAGTATCTGGCAGCGTTAATTAGAGAAAAGCATTGTGAACCACTTTTGAGCTAGGGTAGTGGTTCTCAATCCAGTAGGACCTGCAGCTCCATTTTTATACTTTGCAACACCCGCCCCATCGTGCAGAAATGGAATATATGTGTATTATCTATGTATAATTTTAAAAAGCCGACAATTTTTTTTTACTGTGACATAAAGGAGAAATTAAATTTGTAATATTTAATGCATGATACTTGGGCATTTAAACCTCTGCTTAGAAATGTGAATGCCGGGAGGTGCCTGTGGCTCAAGGAGTAGGGGTGGTGGGTTCAAATCCAGCCCTGGCAAAAAAAATTAATAAGTAAAAATAAAATAGAAATGTGAATGCCACAGTGGGTTGTATTGTCAGACACCCCAAGCAAAGCACTTATCATTCCTGATGGGGTTTTCTGAAATGGTAAACAATCCTTACTAATATTCTGTACAACACAGTACAGTTGTCCCCCCACTGTATAAAAACTTTGTGGTTAGTTTGTGTTTTTATAGTGAAACATAGTTTGGCTCAAGGCTCAGATAACATGAACAGATAATTTTTTACCCACACAATGTCAGTAGGATGTTCAAAAGCCATATAGGATGTGGAACAATTCATGTTTTAGGTAGTCTCAAGTGAAGAAGGATGTGATTGACTGATCCCTGTTCACAGAAAATCTATTAGCATTGCCCCTCCCGTCCTGGCAACCAGTAAAAATTACATGCCCCTGGAGGCAGTATGTCCCTTCTTGAAAACTTCTGGCCTAAAGTCCTCGGAAAGTTTTTAGGGCCAGAGGAGTGTGTCTAAGTAGAAGTGTGGATCCAGCTTCTGACTGTAGAGGCCAGTGTAAGCAGAAGGCTAGGGACATTGTTTCCTGCAACCTGTCACTTTGTCCTCTGTGAGTATAAAGGATTCCTGGATGCTGCAGCCTGGCCTAGTGGGGGGGCCTTTTTTTTTTCCCCTCAGAAACGGGCCCAGGATGCTTTGGTCATCCTGGGGGGTGGAGGACTTCTGTTTGCTTCCTACCTGACAGCTACAGGGGATGAGCGTTTCTATGCTGAATACCTGATGCCAGCTCTGCAGAGGCTGCTGGACCCAGAGTCAGCCCACAGACTGGCCATTCACTTTACCTCCCTGGGACTCCTTCCTCGAGCCTCATTTCAGGACTCTGACATGCTGGTAGGTACTCTGGGAACACCCTATTCATTAAATACAAGGGTGAGGGCCGGGCGTGGTGGCTGACACCTGTAATCCTAGCACTCTGGGAGGCTGAAGAGGGTATATTGCTTGAGCTTAGGAGTTCGAGACCAGCCTGAGCAAGAGTGAGACCCCCATGTCTACTAAAAATAGAAAAACTAGCCAGTTGTGATGGGCACCTGAGAACACTGCCCAACACAAGTCCCATAAGCGATATATAATAATTATAATGTTACATGTAATAAAAATCACTCAGATTGAACTCCAATTCCCACTACTCCTTTGAGGCTCTGTTTTTGTTTTTTGAGACAGAGTCTCACTTTATAACCCTTGGTAGGGGGCCATGGCATTACCACTCACAGCAACCTCCAGCTCCTGAGCTTAGGCGATTCTCATGCCTCAGCCTCCTGAGTAGCTGGGACTACAGGTGCCCGCCACAATGCCTGGCTATTTTGTTGTTGTTGCAGTTTGGCTGGGGCCAGGTTCAAACCTGCCACCCTCAGTATATGGGACTGGCACCCTACCCACTGAGCCACAGGCGCCACCCAAGGCTCTGGTTTTAAAAAGGATCAGTACCAACTGAGAAATATTAGGGAACTTCAACCTTTACCCTTCTATTTATTTTCTGATATCTCACTCTGTCAGTAAGTGTTGTGGCATCATAGCTCACAGCAATCTCAAACTCCTGGGCTCAAGTGATTTTCTTGCCTTAGCCTCCCAAGCAGCTGGGACTACAGGCGCCCTTCACAATGCCTGGCTATTTTTTTAGAGACGGGGGTCTTGCTGTGGCTCTGGCTGGTCTCGAACTCCTGAGCTCAGGCAATCCGCCCAGCTCGGTCTCCCAGAGTGCTGGGATTACAGGTGTGAGCCACAGAGCCCAGCCTCTACAAGGGGCGCTTCTCTACTTTCCCGTGGCACAGTTGAGCAATGTGTCCTTTTCCCTGACTTGCCATGCTTGATCTCTGAAAGGCACTGCAGGATCAGAAAGAGCATCCCGTTAAGCTTTCTCACCTGAAACTGCTAGCTTGCACCCTGGAACCAGTGTAAAATGAGAGTAAAGAGTCGGGTGCAGAGATAGGGTGAATTTGGAAGTGAGGTTTGCCTGGGGGGTGCCTGTAGTCTCAGCTACGGAGGCTGAGGCAAGAGCTTAAGCCCAAGAGCTAGAAGCTGCTGTGAGCTGTGACGCCATTCTACTGAGGGTGACATAGTGAGACTCTGTCTCAACAACAACAACAAGAAAAATAGGTTCTCCCTCCCTCCCCTGCCTTGGGGCCTGCAATCCAATGCTTAACAAACTTTCTAGGTCTTTCTGATGTAGGTGTACCAGGGACCACACTTTAAGAAACACCAGGATAAGGCGGCACCTGTGGCTCAAAGGAGTAGGGTGCTGGCCCCATATGCCGGAGGTGGCGGGTTCAAACCCAGCCTGGCCCAAAAAAAACCTGAAAAAAAAAAAAAAGAAAAGAAACACCAGGATAGCCTATGTACTGACTTTTGTCATCTTCTTCCCAGGAGGTGAGAGTTCTGGGTCATAAATTCCGAAATCCAGTAGGAATTGCTGCAGGATTTGACAAGCATGGGGAAGCTGTGGATGGACTTTATAAAATGGGCTTTGGGTTTGTTGAGATTGGAAGTGTGACTCCAAAACCTCAGGAAGGAAACCCCAGACCGAGAGTCTTCCGCCTCCCTGAGGATGAAGCCATCATTAACAGGTAGGAGAGAGAGCCAGAGTTAGTTAACAGGGAGGCCTTCCTTCTGCCTGGGCTCTCAGGGATGTATCGGCCTTGTTTTTTTCACTGGGACGACATGGATATTCTTCTGTAGCTTGGAATGTTCAGGAATCCTGTTGCGCATCCCTGTGCCAGGCATCTATCCTCAACAGCAGCCTTGGGAAATAGCTTTTGTTATTTCTGTTTAACAGGTGTACATAAGGGGCCTCAGAGAGCTACATCACTGAGCTGTGGTCCAAAGACACAAAGGAGAGGCTGGGTGTGGCTTCAGCTCCTGGGACTTCAGAGCTGTGCCTTGTCCTCCTTGTCTCTCCAGTGCCCTCACTCAACACTTTGAGTCCCACACATAATTCAGAGTATTCGTGACAGTTAAACAGTAAAGAGGGCTGGGCATGGTGGCTCACACCTGTATTCCTAACACTTTGGAAGGCCCAGGCAGAAGGATCACTTGAGGTTAAGAGTTCAAGACCTGCCTGAACAAAAGCCAGACTCTGCCCTGTGCGGTGGCTCACACCTGTAATTCCAGCACTCTGGGAGACCGAGGTGGGTGGATTGCCTGAACTCAGGAGCTCGAGACCAGGCAGAGCAAGAGTGAGACCCCATCTCTAACAATAGCTAGGTATTGTGGTGGGCACCTGTAGTTGCAACTACTTGGGAGGCTGAGGCAAGAGAATTGCTTGAGCCCAGGAGTTTGGGGTTGCTGTGAGACGTAATGGCACCAACTGCACTCCAGCCAGGGCGACAGAGGGAGACCCTGTCTCAAAAATCCCCAATCTGCTCCCTCCCCCCATCACCCCAAAACCCCAGGAAAAATAAATCAGTGAAATTATTTATAATTATAGCCTAATTAGAAATACTTTATATTGTAGATATTTTAATATGTGATCAATATAAAAATTAGCAGTTTTTGCCTCTTTTTACTTGTACCAAATCTTCAAAAGGTGGTGTGCATTTCCACCTTTCACTTTTGACCAGTCACATTTCAAGTGCTCAGGGGCCACGTGAGGCTAGCAGCTCTGGGATTGGCGGGAACAGCCCTAGCTCTTAGCCATCAGGACAATTTAGCGTTCAACACGCACAGCTACTTTTAGTACAAGAAATCCTTCCAGGCTGGATAAAGCCCTTTTCCCTGTGCATCCCTGGGCAGTTTTTACTGCAGCAAACACAGAAAATGAAGAAGTTGCTACTTTTTGGAACAGAATTTTGAGGGGCTTGAGAAAAAGAGGAGTTTTTTGATAGGCATCCTTGGGGCCATTCACGGCCTCCTGGGAGATTGACACACAGGAAGTTTATTTGCACTTTGGGGGAAGTTTTTCAGCTTTAAAGATCAAGTTACATTTTTGCTGCATTGCAGGTGGGAATTGATCTCTTCAGAATTGGCCAGGCAAACGTATTTGTCTGTGATTTGGCTGCCACAGAACATGTGCACTGTCCCTGTTAGACCACTTCTGGCTCTAAGTCTCGCTATAGGTGTTTTTTGGTTTTGAGACGGGGTTTCCTTCTGTTGCCTGGGCAGGAGTGCAGTGGTACAAGCCTAGCTCACAGCAACCTCAAGCTCTGGGGCTCACACAATCTTCCTGCCTCAGCCTCTTTTAAGCAGCTGGAATTACAAAGGTATGCCACCACACCTGGCTATAATTTTTAAATTTTTTGTAGAGATGTGGTCTTGCCATGTTGCCCAGGCTGGTCTCAGACTTCTGGCCTCAAGGTAATCCTTGTACCTTGGCTTCCCAAAGGGCTGGGAAAAATAGCCAGGCCTTGTGGTGGACAACTATAGTCTCAGCTACTTGGGAGGCTTCGGCAATTAAGAGAATTGCTTAAGCCCAAGAGTTGGAAGTTGCTGTGAGCTGTGACGCCACAGCACCCTACTAAGGGTGACATAGTGAGACTCTGTCTCAAAAAA